ATTTCAAGTCTTTGCTTTGGAAACCCTGACAACTTTAATTTTTTAAGCTAAAGTTAAAAACACCACCAAGAAACAGAAATCACTAACAGTATTATTTATATTATAAATAACATTACAGGATTATAAATTATAAAATGGGGGTAGGGACAAGAAATATTTGGCCCCAAGGAAATACTAATTATATTAATATCTGCCATCTTTGTAAAAGGCAGATATTTTTCCTTTATTTTCCTTTTTAGGATTCTTCAAATGTGTCATATACATTATGCAGCCCTTACCTAATGAAGTTTTTTTTTTTTTTTTTTTTTTTTTGAGACAGAGTTTCGCTCTTGTTACCCAGGCTGGAGTGCAATGGCGCGATCTCGGCTCACCGCAACCTCCGCCTCCTGGGTTCAGGCAATTCTCCTGCTTCAGCCTCCTGAGCAGCTGGGACTACAGGCACGCGCCACCATGCCCAGCTAATTTTTTGTAGTTTTAGTAGAGACGGAGTTTCACCATGTTGACCAGGATGGTCTCGATCTCTTGACCTCGTGATCCACCCGCCTCGGCCTCCCAAAGTGCTGGGATTACAGGCTTGAGCCACCGCGCCCGGCCCCTAATGAAGTTTTTAAAAGCATTCTACAATAGAAAGTTCCCAGATACATTTTTTGAAGAAGATTTAGTGGAAGGTGGAAAGGGAAGCAGCTACTTTGAAAATATTATTAAACAAAACTAAAACTGCAACTTTGTTTCATTTGAAAAATAGACATTGCATTCCCTCATGTTTTCATTGTATGTCTAAAACACTATATATATATTGGATTTCATCAGACAGATGTGAGATTCTGGGTCAATTTGAAATTTGGTTAATCATTCATTTTTGATAGCTACTTTAAAATATTGTTTATATTAAGTTAAATGAAATCAATGAAATATGTACCAAGCCCTTTATGCAGTAAGGTTTCTAGTACAGGCCAGGTCAATTACCCCTCTGATACCTGCAATTGGCATTTTAAATGATCGGGAAAAAATAGCTGTTAGTGATATTTTTTTCAAAGCCAGCTTGGTGACAAGCCATGTCATGGTCTCTGTAGAAAAGTGTTTCAGGAGAAATTAGATTAATTTTTTAAGGCTCTTTACCCTTGGGTTTACTGTAAGAATTCATCACCTTAACATACCATGTTTATTAAGCAACTCCATGTTTTATATATGATGCATATAAAAACTGGTTGTGTGAGGGGTTTATATTTGGCCATATCCAAGGCTGAATGAGACAATCAGGGTGACAGAATGTTAACATATTAAATGTATTAGTAAATAAGGCTTTAATTTTAACAGTAGGAAAGATTTGCTTCTATGCCATATACTCAAAAACCAAATATTAATCACATCTTCCAAATTTTCCATGATTAATATCTAATGGTCATATTTTCTATCCATTGGGAAGTTTTTGTTCCCTTAACTATTATGTAGCTATTTAATTATGAATTCTTCACAATTACAAAGTGATGTTTAGTTATTTGACACACTGGTGATTAAATTTAAAATTTAAGGAAAAAAGGCCCTCCTAAGAATTGCATTATGTAGAACAAGTCTGGCATTGGCCAAATGGTTTGACAAAGTAAGCCTTTCTGTCTCATTGATAGAAAGTAAAGGACCCCTCAGCTACCTCCATACTTAAAACACTGTGGTGCAGAAGAAAATATAAATTCCCACCCTTGTTGCTTTCTAATTTTAGTTTGCCAAATGATGAGTCATTTGTTACTTTTCAAGAAATTATTTCCCCAAAAAGAGTTTGCCTTATTTATTTTTACACAATTAAAACAAGGAAAGGAAGAAAACTCATGGATAGTGAAATGCAATTAGAAAGAACTATGTGAAATTAGAGATGGATTATATCCTTGCAGAATATGTAAGAAAAAAATGCATGTGTATTCCACATATGCTATGACAGAGTGTTAGTTTATTATTTGTTGTGTTAAACAGGTAGACATACAGAGTGGGAATTGTGATGATTTTTCTGTGGTTTAGAGACATGGAGATGAAAGGAAGACAGCTATCCATCCTTCCATTCATTGAGTAAAATTTGAATGAGCACATACTATATGTTGAGCATGAACAGATAAGACAGGAGAAAGCTACAACCTCAGTAACATTAGCAAACTGACATCCTCTTTCAGCTGCCTAAACAGTGCAAACAGCTGTTAGACTGAAAAGTTATGTTTATGTTCCTAATAGAAAAGAAGTGGAAGACTCTGCCTTACCCCTAAGGCTCCCCAAAGGCTCAAGAGTTGAAATTTGCTGTTTACTACATAAAGTAAAAATAACAGTATTTGCATCCTGTTTCCACTGGGGTATTAAAACACAATGGCTCTTAGCTCTTGCTTGGGCTCTGCCTTTCAGCCATTTATAATACTGAGTATTACTACCTTGGAATGACAAGGCTACAGAACAGGGAGACAATGTTAGAGTTAATACATTAAAGCAAAATTCTAATTCTGCATAACTAGCATGCATTTACTTCATTAACTAGCAGTTACATTTCCCACGCCTTCAATTAACACTGGTTTCATTTTAAATGCTATCAGTTAAGACAAGATGTGATAAGAAAACATCATTGCCAAGAAAGCATTCCTCAAACACTGGCTGATTTATCTCTTTGGCAATTCATTAAAATGCAAAATATATTGAAATTGATTTTCAGCACTTTCAGGCAGGAATGTTTGTAATAATGTTAATTTGCAAATTTCCTTTTTTTTAAAGTCTCTGTGCTGTAGTCGCCATGTTTAGCTGGAGGCTATTTTTATTGTGCAGGCAGAAAATGAACAGCGAGCATTTATTTCTCATATCCTTCTGAGAAACCTGAGGTGCATGAAGATATTTGTGCTGTAACAGGCATAGTCAATCTCCTTCACTCGCTTTCGTGGCTATATATCACCAGCAAACTCCCAGCTAGTCCTGCTGTAGCAATTAACCTGCCAGAACTCTCTCCTGTCAGGCTTCGTAATAATAAACTCCTCCCCCCACCACCCCTGAGAGAGTCAGAGCCATCGATTCTGGCTCTGCAACTTCCATAGAGGTTGAATTATTCAGAATCAGCATGATTAAGAAGATGACATGGGTATTAGTTTAAAAGACATACTTTTTTTCTCTCTCCCCTGACTGAGGTTTAAACCTATTAAGGTTTAAAGCAGTGGAGGCAACTGATCTTTCCCTCTTTAGTGCACCAGTCCTAAAATAGGAATTCTTGAAAGGCTATTTACAATACCTTGTCAATTTCCAAGTTTATGATTAAAAAGTATAAATACCAGGAGGGAAGTGTCAGAGTCAAAATGTACAGCTCGTGTAAATCTAGGAACTGGCTAAAAATAATATTTTCACCCCAAAGAGACAAAAGGAGCGGATTTGTTTCAAGGAATTAGTCATGTTTCAATTGTTATTCTTACAAGCAATGAAAACTCCTCATGTTTGTGGTTTTGGGGTCAGTTTCAAGTGGACCAAACTGTGATTAATTATAAATTTAAAATCCGGATACACACTCTGTCAGATAACAAGTCATTAGACTCTAGAAATAGCATATCCCTAACAATAAACCTTGTTTTTATGAGGATGGCAGTATTATAAATGTCATAATGGATTGCAAATGAACCAGCTGTTTATATTCTACTGTAGTACATGAATGGGAGATGAGCATGCCAGGAAATAAAAGGAGATTGGGGAAAATTTACTGGTACCAAGTCACAGAAAAAAGCCCAAGGAACTCAATTTTTACGCATTCCCATCCAATTTACCCTTGCTGACTTTTGGGGGGAAATGTAGCTTTTGAAACCAATTGTATTATTTCACTTTAAGATGGCTTTTAGTATATTCAATAGACCCATCAGAGTTGTATGTTCTTTTTCAGTCTCAAGCTGCCCTCACCATATGAGATTGGTTACCGTCTAAGGACTTTCAGAGAAGGATTTGAATGAAATTTCAAAGGCCAGACAGAGCAGCTTTCAAAACACCACAAGCTTAGGAAAGTAGGGTTAGTGGCCCAGGAGGGGTGAGAAACTGGTTTTCTGTTTTTCATTTCACTTCAAGCTAAAGCACCTTTTGACCCCACCAGGCGAAACAGAAGCAGCATGGCATTTCTAATTGAAAGACCCCACCCATCCAAGCTCTGTAAAATGGCAATTATCAGTAACTATATTATTGTCAAAATCTTCCACATTAGCCCATGGAAACTGGTGATTCCTTTGAGAACAGAAACACTTTGCTCTTCTATGTATGATCAAATCTAGGTCCACCCATGAGATTTCAGCAAATAGCCAGTCTGCTCACATGTGCTTGTTAGCAGATGGCCATTTTCTGCATATCAGGTATGAATCATAGATCTTTGTTATGCAAAGATCTTATTTCAAGTTTCACTTCCTCTTTTATCAGCCAGAACTAGAACCCAGCAAAGGGATGCAACGGAGGGGTACAATTTAACATTACAAATTAGGAGTGTTGCTTTATGGGGCATTACAGTTACTCTATTTAAAAATCCAATCCACAAGATAACATTACCACTTTGTTATGTTTGTATTTTCAGATAAGTCACCTTACCCCTGGCTGCAGGTTTCTTATCTCTCTAATATTCATGGAGTGGTAGCTTTTAATTAAACAATCCACAACTCTATGTAACTCAAAGTGTATATTTTACTGCTGCGGGAACCAATAGTCAAGAAAAATTCCATATTTTAAATTTATTTTTAATGCCTGGATAGTTTTATTATCAGTGATGTCATGAACAGTGTTGTCCTACAAAAATGACTAAGTGTTGTGTTTCAAGAGACATGCAGATCACATCAGAGATCCCAAAAGTTCATGCGACTCTTGATTTTCATAGATGGAATATTCACAGATTTGACTTTGCCAGAAACTCCTAGAGGTCGGTAATATGTAATAATTTATCATTTTCCCCAGGTATAATTTTATTCACATGCATGGCAGATCTAGAATGTGGAGGTGAGTCACTAAACTACTGATTTCTCCACATGAACTGTTTTCTTCAAATATAAAATGCCTTGACTTCTGTGACATCTTAGACTCCTGTTTTTATCCAAAGATCACATTTTCTCAGTCTTCTTTTCAATTTCATCACCTAAATGTTGAGGTCCAAACCTCCTTTTCAGTCTTCACACTCTCTTTAGGTCATCTCTGATGCCTAGGACTTCGAGTTCTATATATACGTTGATGAGTCACTAGTACAAATTACCCACCCATATCTCGCTCCTGAAATTCAGAGGCATATACTCAGCTGCCTCTTGCACACTGGGTATCCCACTGGCACTTCAATTCAACATATGCAAAATAGAATTCATAATAATAATAGTAATAATGCAGATAATATTTAATGGGCATTTAATGTTTATACTCAAAATCTTTACCAAAACTCTAACATGTAGCAGGCTGTCATATTCCCCATTTTACAAGTGAGGAAACTAGAGCTTAAAGAAATTAGTTGTCAAAAGTCAAATGTTCACAAAGAATTATGATTTGGACCTAAGTACACTGCCGAGAGTCTAGGTTGTTAATCACCACTCCCATGCTGCCTAGCCTTAGTTTCATCTTTCACTTAATTCTTCCTAGTGGTGTTTCCTATTTGGATGGTGCAGTTGCTTCAGGGGGCCTTCCCTGATCCTACAGAGTGAGTTGGGTTTCCAGGACTAAAGTTCTACAATTAGTTTTTTAAATTAGTGCTTTTTTTTTTACCCTAGAGAATCTGTAATCACGTATTTGACTTTTAATCCTCTCAATTGCCTGGGAAATACACTGGACAGATACTAGCTCCATTTGAAACTGAGAAAACAAAGCAAAATAAATTGGTAAGGAAGGCAATAGTTCAAAAAGATGGAACAGCAATTGCACAAGCCCTAGTGGGGAAAACAAAATAAAAGTAGCATTCTCAAGTAACAGAATAATTTAGTTTTTAAGTTAGAGCACAAAGAATGAAAGTGAGGAGAGACAAGAGGCAAGAGAGGCAGAGGGGTGCTAGATCACAGAGGCTTTTAAAGGCCATGTTAGAAACCTGAATATGTATTCTAAGAACAAAACAAAAAACACTTAAGCAATGGGATATGAAAACTCAAAGGTCATTTATTTCATTCTCAGTTGTTGATGGGCAAAACTGATCTGAAAGAGGTTCAAAATTTTGTTCAGGGCATGGAGGATGCTGATGAAAAAGGCAGAAGAAAAATGATAAATTGTGGTGTTTTTACTTATGCATTAAAGGGCCAAGTAGTCCAGGGAACCCTGTGTAAGATATTAAGAGAACAGGTATCATAATAATAATGCGTGTGTGTGTGTGTGTGTGTGTGTGTGTGTGTGTGTGTGTGTGTGTATTTCTCTCTCTCTCTCTCTCTCTCTCTCTCCATATATATATATATATATATATCTTGCTTCTCCTTCAGCTTGAGAAGCAAGAGAGTTTGGGCTTATCAAAGGCATGCCAACCAGTGATAGACATACAGCATGCAGTGAGCGTTCATCTATGTGCTATATACATATATATATATATGATATTTTTAAAGCAGTTTCAGGTTCACAGAAAAATTGAGTAGAAAGTGCAGAGTTTTCATATAGCCCCAGCCTGCACCCCATTACTCTACCTCAAACAGCCCCAACCATCCACATCTAGTACCAGACTGAAACATTTGTTACAATTGATGAACCTACATAGACACATCAGTATTACCCAAAGTCCATAGTTTACATTAAGGTTCACTCTTGGTGATGTATATTCTATGGGTTTTGGCAACTGTATGATACCACGTATCTATCATACCAAGTTGTTTCACTACCCTAAAAATCCTCTCTGCGTATTTGTCCATCCCTTCTTACTAACCCTGAACAACTACTGATGTTTTTACTCTAACCACAGTTTTGCTTTTTCCAGAGTGTCATGTAGTTGAAATCATATAGTATATATCTTATTCAGATTAGCTTTTTTTCACTTAGTGATGTGCATTTGTTTCTTCCATGTTGTTTCATGGCTTGATAACTCATTTCTTTTTAGTATTGAATAATATTCCATTCTATGAATGTACCACAGTTTATCCAGTTATCAGTTGAAGGACATCTTGGTTCCTTCCAAGTTGTGGCAATTATAAATAAGGTTGCTATAAACATACATGTGTAAGTTTCATGTGTATATAAGTTTTCAGCTCCTTTGGATAAGCACCAAAGAGTACAATTGCTGAATCCTATGGTAAAAGTATGTTTAGTTTTGTAGGAAAAGCTGCTATGTCACCAAAAGCTGCTATAACATTTTGTATTCCCATCCACAATGAATTCCTGTTTCTATTGTTCCACATCCTCATCATCATTTGATTTTGTCAATATCATGGGTTTCAGCCATTTTCATTGATACATAGAAGTATCTATTGTTTTAATTTCCAATTCCCCAATAACAAATGATGGTGAGCATCTTTCCATTTAGTTGTCGTCTGCATATCTTCTGCAGTGAGATGTCTGTTCAGGACTTTTGCACATTTTTAATTGAGTTGTTCATTTTTTTATTGTTGAGTCTTAAAGAGTTCTTTGTGTGTTTTTGATAACAATCTGTTATCACATATGGCTTTTGTAAAACTGAGATGTCAGCACAGCTGTATTCCTATCTGAAGATTTTAAGGAATAATTCATCTCTTTGATATTTCCCAGCCACTAGTCTGTACTCCTTGGCTTATGGCCCCTTCCTGCCCCTTCAAAGCCAGGAGTGTATATTCAGTCCTTAAGTAGTATACTTCTGAATTTGTACCTGTCATCACATTTTTCTTTAACTCTCTCTCTCTTGCTATCTCCCTCTTCCACTTTTAAGGATCCTTCTGATTACATTGGGCCCACCCAGATAAGCCAGGATAATCTCTCTTTTTTATAGTTAGCTATTAGCATGCTTAATTCTACTTTTGCCATGCAACTTAACATATTTGCAGGTTCTGGGAATTAGGAGACGGGCACTTGCGGGGAGGCATTATTCTGCCTGTCACAGTGCTCTGTAAGTATTTGCTATTTATTAGTAGGAGTGGTAACTTAAAAACAATATAAAGTCATTACTTATAAAATGATTAATACTGAGTTAATAAAGTCTCCCTAGTATTTTACAGCTGTCTTGTTTCCACTCAATTCAAAGTAACAGTTATTTTTTTCTTTCTTAGCAACTTAAATGTATGAATCTGTTTAAAGTATTTAATTGAGCTTTCATAGAAACAAAAACTCTTGTGTTTTCACACTCACCTGGGGCCACGAATTTATATAATATTTAATTAAATTGCATAATGATAGTGATAATTATACCTGGGATAAATGCATGGGGAGAAATACAACTGACTGTTGGTAAACATAGAACTCAGCTGGAGAGTTTGGGCTCATCAGAGGAATGCCAACCAGTGACAGATACACAGCATGCAGTGAACATTCATCTATGTGCTGTGCAGAGGGAATGAAGATTGTCCATTAATCTAGTAAACCAGTTAAGTGGAAGATTTTAAAGAAAGCTTCTGCTCTGCTTCAAACAATAGAACACGGGCTCTGCAGGCAGACATCAGTTCTAATTCTTTCTTGCTCATATCTCATAAGTTAGGTTACTTTGAGCAAATTAATTAATGCCTAAGATGTTCTGTTCCCTACTCCTGTAAAATGAGGGTTAAAATAATATCTACTTCATAGTGTAGTGGCAAGTTCAGTACTAACATCGTTCTTGCAAGTTAAGATGTTCATTGCATAGTATTCAGTATCACAAATATTTGCATACTATTTTCATTAGTTCCTTGAGTAAATTCCTACACATAAATTGCTGAATGCAAGTATATACAATTCTCTTAATTTTATATAGAGGTATTATCAAAATGATCTCCAGAAATATATACTAATTTCACTTTTTACCTACAAGGTATGACGGTGCCCATTTTCAAGTTTTAAAAAAACTTGATAGTATTTGTATCATTTAAAAATTGCTATTTGACAAAAGCAGTGTTGAGAGGGAAGTTTATAGTGCTAAATGCCTACATCAAGAGGATAGAATGTTCTCAAATTATCAACCTAACCTCACACCTAAAGGAGTAAAAACAAACAAACAAATTAGTCCTGAAGCTAGCAGAAGAAAATAACTAAAATCAGAGCAGAACTTAATGAAGCTGAGACCCTCCCAAAAATCCATACAAAGTATCAACAAAACAAAAACATGGTTATTGGAAAATTTAAGCGAGAGTGATAGACTTCTAGCTAGAATAACAATGAAAAAATGAGACAAGAACCAAATAAGCACAATCAGAACTGACAAAGGGGACATTTCAGTTGATCCCACCAAAAATATAGAAGATCTTCAGAGACTACTATGAACTTCTCTATGTGCACAAACTAAAACATCTTGAAGAAATAGATAAATTCCTGGAAACATACAAGCTCTCAGGATTGAACTAAGAAGAAACAGAAATCCTGAAAAGACTAATAATGAGAAATTGAATCAGTAATAAAAAGCTTACCCTCCAAAAAAAGCCTTGGACCAAATGGATTCACAGCCAAATTCTATATACCAGATGTACAAAGAGCTGGTACCAGTCCTACTGAAACTATTCTAAAAAATTGAAGAGGAAGGACTCTTCCCTAACTCATTCTACAAAACCAGTATCATCCTGACATCAAAATCTAGCAAAGACACAGCCAATAAAGAAAACTACAGGCCAATATCCCTCATGAACATAAACACAAAAATCCTCAATAAAGTATTACCAAACCAAATCCAGGAACTCATCAAAAACTTAATTCACCATGATCAAGTGTTCTTGAATCTTGGGATGCAAGAAGGGTTCAATGTACATGAATCAATACATATGATATAACACATAAACAGAATTTTGTAAAAACCATGTAATCATCTCAATAGATGTGGAAAAACCTTTTGATAAAATCCAGCATTGCTTTACAATAAAAACCCTCAACAAAATGAGACATCAAAGAAACATATCTCAATATATTCAAAACAATCTCTGACAAACCAGCAGA